ACGTATATGGACTTGTCTTACATCCGTAGTACGAGAGTTGGTGGCTGTTTGGGTAGAGTTTATGCAAGGCCATATGCAAATTCGTTCCTCAGAATTGTTTGGAACAGGATTTGTTCCTCTCTGTGTCGATTCCTCCCCAACTCTTGGGTGTTCAGTGTACGTTATGCTCTGGAAGGAAAATTTCCCTGACGCAGTGTTCTGTTATTTGGACAAGTCTTAGATCACACACACAGAATCACACAGAACGTGAGGGATTGGAAGGGACCTCAAAAGCTCATCCAGTCCAATCCCCCTGCCGGAGCAGGAACACCCAGATGAGGTTACACAGGAAGGCGTCCAGGCGGGTTTTGAATGTCTGCAGAGAAGGAGACTCCACAACCTCTCTGGGCAGCCTGGGCCAGGGCTCTGTCACCCTCACTGAGAAGAAGTTTCTTCTCCAATTGAAGTGGAACCTCCTGTGTTCCAGTTTGTGTCCGTTACCCCTTGTCCTATCATTGTTTGTCACCGAGAAGAGCCTGGCTCCATCCTCGTGACACTCACCCTTTAAATATTTCTAACCATGAATGAGGTCTCCCCTCAGTCTCCTCTTCTGCAAACTAAAGAGCCCCAGCTCCCTCAGCCGCTCCTCAGAAGGGAGATGCTCCACTCCCTCCATCATCTTTGTAGCCCTACGCTGGACTCTCTCCAGCAGTTCCTGTCCTTCTTGAACTGAGGGGCCAGAACTGGACACAATATTCCAGATGACGTGGTTATCAAACAGTATTGGTTACCTTGCAATGCATCTCTGTTTCAACGCCATAAGACTATTTAAGGTATAGGGTAGAGTTTTTCTATTCAGACTTTATTTTTCTGCATTACGTTATTTTGTTTTTCGTTTTATTTTGTTCAGTCGATATTTGGTCAGTGGGATGCATTATGGCTGAACTGTTGACTGGAAGAACGTTGTTCCCTGGTACAGACCGTATCCTTTACAAGTAATATATTTTTGTGAAATGGAAGTTGGAGATCTTCACTCTCATGTACTTCACAAGCAAAGAAGTTCAGAGTTTGGTTGTGGGTTTTTTTGCCTGTTTGTTTTTAAATTAATGGCTTATTTTAGTCACAGTATGACAAGGTGAGTTCTTGATTTCGCTGCACAGTGTGCAAGAAGGCAAATCTATTCCTCTTTATTGTCTATTAGTGTCACTAGAATTACGTGTTCTTTGTTTCTGGGAGTTACTTTCCTTTAAGTTGATTTAAATTCATTGCTCTTTGAGTCTGTAGAAAAGAACTGCATGGAGTGGGCTGTCTGCTGTGAATCCTCTCACGCTCCGGGCTTTTAGCAAATGTGAAGAGTCCCTTCTGGCCTCTTCTGTGTCCTGGGTGGAAGCCGTGGGTTTGCAGGTCCTTCAGTGCCAAGGATCTCGTTCCAAATTGTTCTGAAATGTTTAGGTTCTGCTTCCCTGTTTGAGCACAGACAGATTGTGAACCTTCGTACAGGGGCAATTTACTACTGGCAAGATTTTGCCTTGCCTAGAAATTGGACTTTATTTGCCAGAGAAAATTACATTGCTACCTTTAACCAAATTATTCTTTCAACCACAGTTTATTTTAATAAATTTAATTAATTTATTAGTATTTATATCTGTTAATTCAGATATATATTAGCATTTGACTTAAAAGAAAGCTAATGTTGGAAGTGCTGGCCGCCTGTGTACTACGTTGCTTCTGGAAAGCATCTGGATGCCAGAATTTTGGCAGAGAGGAAGGCTTTCATTCCAGTTTTGACAGTTTTCTCTCCCTTTTCAATGTCCTTTACCTTTTTCTCTCTTTTTCTGCCTGTCTCCATCTCACAATATCTCTCCAGATGTGCTGACCTTGTTGTACTTTACTGTTTAATCTCTGCTGTGTTTTCCTGTTGTCAGGGACAGAAGCAAAACTAACATGAAAGTGGCTTAGGAGATAGAAAATATTGCCATTTATCTATTGGCTGAACTTGGTTTGGGCAGATTTGCTTTGTTTCTGTCAAGAGAAAAATGAGAAATCAAGAATTGTTGATTCCAACAAAGCAGAAATCTTTAAGCTGTTCCCACTGTTTAACCCTGGTAACACTTCAGGCTTTCAAAAGTAGGATTTACAATATGTGAGCAGTGCTTCGCAGTGTGTTCTTTATGAATTGGACAAAACTGTTCCGTTCCAAGCCTGCAAAATGTTCTCTCCAACTGCATTTTAGCGGTGAATTACAACCACTGATATCTGCAGTGCAAAATGAAGTTTGCTTACAGGATCTGAACTGTTTGCTTTGTCATATTAAGATACTCTTTAATTTCTGTCTCCTAGCAAATGGTTGTGATTCTTTACCTTAAATGCTCAATTTCTCTTGCCAACGGTAGTAAGGCTTTTGAAATAAATCCTTTTTCTGTCCTGAATTGGTTAGATTTTAAGAAAAATCAGGCTAAATCTTTTCCATTGTAGATCAAACTTTGCAGTGCTCTGGTTCTTGTAGTTGAGTGTGGTTCCCCACTTGAAGGAGCGTATGCGCTGTTTGGTGGTGAGGTTAGAGCTGTGAGGGGAGCAGGGTTTGTGGTTAGGAGCCGCGTTTGTGCACCTAACGCTTACCCAAGGATCCAGAAAGGCACCGAGCTGTCAGCTTTCACTCCAGTTCTGCTGCTATCTGAAGTGCAGCAGGCAAAAGTCAGATAAAAATGGGTTCTAGCTTCTCCCTGTATTGGAAGGCTCTTGGAAATCTTTATATATGTATGATTTTAGAAGAAAATTTTGGGAAATTTCCAGATTTAGATCCTGTTGGGTCTTAATTTTTTTGTACCCGCAGATTTGCTGAGGCCTGTGCTCCTTCTGCAGCGTTGCTACGCGATTGCTGACTTACCGACCTTGCAATTAATATTAACACGCTTAATCAAGGCATATTTACCGTGCTCCTAGCAGCCAAGATATGATACAGTGTGTCCAAATCCACTGCGCTTGTAGGGAGCTCACTCTGCAGTTGGGGGCAATGTGACTGTGTATTCTGTGTCTTCGTCAAGCTGGAAACTGCTCCTGTTGGACAACTGAAAATTCAACGTTTTTCTTGCTTTTTGGTCTCAAGACTTCAGTTTTCCCAACTATATAGCTTCACATTTCCAAAATGAAATGGGTAGTGCCAGAATAGGTAATGCCTTCTCAGCATCACCATCCCCCTCTGTTCAGGTGGTTCCCTTGGTTGAAGGATTGGTCCTTTCCACCAAGGGTTTAGCAGAAATGGTGGGGTGTTATTTATGGTCCCTCAAATATTTCTTTATATGGCCCGGAGATGCAGATGTTGCTTTTCACAGAATCCCAGACCGTTAGGGATTGGAAGGGACCTCCAAAGCTCATCCAGTCCAATCCCCCTGCCGGAGCAGGAACACCCAGATGAGGTTACACAGGAAGGCGTCCAGGCGGGTTTTGAATGTCTGCAGAGAAGGAGACTCCACAACCTCTCTGGGCAGCCTGGGCCAGGGCTCTGTCACCCTCACTGAGAAGAAGTTTCTTCTCCAATTGAAGTGGAACCTCCTGTGTTCCAGTTTGTGTCCGTTACCCCTTGTCCTATCATTGTTTGTCACCGAGAAGAGCCTGGCTCCATCCTCGTGACACTCACCCTTTAAATATTTCTAACCATGAATGAGGTCTCCCCTCAGTCTCCTCTTCTGCAAACTAAAGAGCCCCAGCTCCCTCAGCCGCTCCTCAGAAGGGAGATGCTCCACTCCCTCCATCATCTTTGTAGCCCTACGCTGGACTCTCTCCAGCAGTTCCTGTCCTTCTTGAGCTGAGGGGACATCAGTACATCAAGCTGTACAGTAAATTTAACCTGGTAAGTAATAAAGTTGTATTCTGAGGTGATGATCTTCGGTGCTGCCTATGATGATTACGCCACTGATAAATCAATGCTGAATGTGGCTTTCATTGCCTTAAAGCAAGAGTTGTAGATATTCTTAGGAAGACATCTGTGGTTTATATGGGGTTAGCTCTGCAGGATTGTTACACTATTCCTAACATAAAACTGAAGGTAAGCTCATTGAATTGTTCCTATTGTAATCCATGGGTGGGAATATTTGGATGGAAGATGGATTTCTGGTGTTGGTAAAGCCTCTGCCAGGAGGCGAAGGGGAGCGAGATCGTGGGAAAGATTATTCAGAGACCAAGAAATCACTATAGTAATGAAAATCAGAGGCCTTCAGGCTTTTCTGTGAGGCATAGCTAGAGGCTTTCTTTTTGTTATTATTGTATCTGTCTTATGCCAAGATCGCTTTCTGTTTAACATGTATATTCTTATTTTTTTACAGCTCTTATAATGGGAATGATTCATACGAATAAGTGGGAAAGCTGACTTCAAGTTTGACAATTTGACTTGCATAAAGTGATATAAAGTACCAATAAGAGTATCTTGACTGTTTGGTACTAGTTCAGCCAATTTTCTGTGTGTTTTAAGTTGACTGTATTCCCTTTAAACTCTGAAGAGTGTTTTTATTACCGTTTTTATTCAGTAGTATGAGGCTTCCATGGTAACTAACCAGTCCAAAATGACACGTTCTTCTGATACATCTTATTCTTGCTTGTGGTGGCACCTAAACAACCTCTGCTCTGCCTGGATGAGCTCTGACGCCCTCGCGATGCTGCCGATGGTGGTGGCAGCCCCTTGTCTGGATTTCAGCATCGCTGAGACTCACCGGACCGTGCTGATGCCTTTGGGGTTTGCATGCTGCGCTTTCCTTCTCCATGCACATGTCTGTTTTCTTTTTATTTTGCTTTTATATTGACTAAGTGTTTCTCCTGTCTTTAATTGCTTCTGGCTCATTTCTCTGGGACGTGGTAGGCCCCGTAGTGAAATGAAGGCTGTGATTCAGCAGGTGATAGATGGCAAACCTAAAACTGGGAGCAGGGCTTGGGTTTTGGCAGGGCCAGTTCCACTTCCTGCGTTTTCTCTTGGTTATCTGAGAAGTCGCTGATGTTTGTATTACACAAATACCTCCCAACAGCAATTTTCCCTGGGGAAAAGAGCTGACAGCAAACTGGGCTGCCCTGGCACATCTGGGGAAAATTATTTTAAATCCCTTTAAAAGAATTAAAGTGAGGTATGGCAGTGACTTCTGAGGCGTGTTAGTCCCAAGTTTGCACAACTGTTTCTTGCACAAGAAGGGGTGAAAGATGCAAGGGCTGTTTCAAACGGTGCTGAAGAAAAGCCAATTTAAATGAGGTCACTGTGGGTAGTGTGGCTCCCTTTGCTGATTTTCCTGCAGCAGCAGATACACCGATTCATTTGAAGCATTGATAATTAAGAGTTGGTGATTCAGCAGCTAAGCTAAATCCGACCAGATACCTTGGATTTACTCTTCGGTTTGCAGTGTTTAAGTAGGTGGGAGCTGGCCAAGCAACTTGAGAAGTGAGACATTAGTTCAGCTGTTCAGACAAAGCACCATTTCCAGGGCTTTGAATCCATTTCATATGTAAAACTTTCGACCAAATTTTGTATCAAAAGATACACGTTTTTAGCAAAGTATCAGTGACTTCCTTCATGCACAATTTGCCTGCATTGCAGGAACTCTGAGGCTTTTTAAGTCCACAAGTGCCTGGATTAAGTCCACGAGTACCTGGATTAAAAGATGTTGTAACAAGGGAGTGTCACTGTATCTTGAAACATCAGGAGGGCATTGGTCCCAGAGGAAAACACTGTCCAGTAAATGGACTGCTCTCATTGAAAACAAATTGTAACTGGTTTGGTATCGTTTTAAGGGCAAGTCTGAACATTACAGGCGCGTTTTGAAATCATCAGTAGGTTTAGAAGGACAGCGTGGAGGATAACTCGGAGAAGAAAGAAGATTTGTTCTAATGGTTTTTAAAGGATACCTTGTGTCTCCGTAGTATGACCGTGTCTTGAGTGGATTTTCCCCCTCAAGTGCATATTTTGCCACTTATTCCAAACACTGAGGTTTTTCTGCCGTGTTAGAGGGCAGCTCAGGTTGGTTCATGGCCTGGTGGGAGCTCTGTCCTGGATAAAACACTTTTTGCATCCACGATGTTGTGTCCCCAGAGCTTTCTACAGGGATTTTCCAATCGGCACCCACAGAAGGTGAACCCCATCTCCAGGGATGCTGGAGGTTGTGAGCAGGGTCCGGGTGTTTTCTTACAATCTGAGTTTCAAAAGCAGCTGAATTACCTTGGAAGGTGTTCCCAAAACACCTTAGCTTTCTTGTTTTAATACCGGTGCCTACACTTTTCAGCCTTCTGCTTCACTTTGCTGTCACTAACACCACGTAATCCTGCTGGAGCTGCTGCTGCTTTGGTGTGGGGCCGGGCAGGGTGAGGTGAGCATGGACAAACTGAGATTTCCCAGCGGGGCAAAAGCTTTGACTTCTGCTCTGTGATAGTTCAGGGGAGCGATCCGATGCATGCGCTGTGTTTGTAGACGAGTTCTTAATCTGTCTGCTGCAGACAGAGCTGCTTTAGAAGGGAATATTCAATCGTAAATGAGAGGAATGAATACAGTTTGCTTAAAATGGCTTTTCCAGTCAAGGCCTCGGCAGGCGTTAACTTTCGACGTTTATAGGCTGTTATGTTGCGCTTTTTCATTTTGATTTGTCCCAGCATTTTCCTTTATGGTCCATCATTAGATATTGATCAGTTGAAGCTCATTTTGAGACTCGTTGGAACCCCAGGGCCTGAGCTTTTGAAGAAAATCTCCTCAGAGTCTGTGAGTTTACACTTTGATTGTAATATCTGCCCTTCTGGACGTCCCGAGTTCGTGTGTTGCCCCCCTGTAGTCTCTCTGTAGTACGTGTTGGGATTGATTTTTTTCTGTTTTCTCTCTTCCTTTGTCATTTCTTTGCTCTTGGACGGCTTTGAGTTCACACACTGCGTTGATCTGCTCTTTATTCCTCTTTATTTTTTTGATTGCTCTTTATTCGCCTCTGCCTGTGCTGTGACTCCTTCCTTCCATGCTCTCATTTTACTGCTTCGTGACTTTTCTTTCAGTCGCTGGGTTTACACTTGGTGATGCGCTGCGCGATCGGATGCTGCCGGGGAAGCGTTCCTCACAGCGAAGAGCCTGAGGCTCATCCCAATTATTATTCCTCCAGATTGCCTACCCAAGGATCTTCCTTAACAGGAGCCAAGCGCGTTATCCTCTAACACACACGGTCCCTCCTGCAGTACAATTAATTTCTGAAGCACTGCTGCCACCAGCTTTGGTTTTATAACATAAAAAGATGCCTTTTAGGTGCCTTTGTGCGGCAGCTGTTTCCAGGGCACGCAGTACACAGCCTGCTGCGAATGAAACTCCTTGTGCCATGTATTTACAGGGTGCTGCTGTATGAGGGCCTCTTACCGAGGTAACAGCTCTCTCTGACCTCCTTTTTAAAGGGTGACCTCTATTTTCAGCCGTGCTGGCCACTTCTGTGTTGCTCTAATCTTGACTTGTGAACTTCTGCAAAGACACTATTAAACGCCTTTTGATTTTACCTGTTTCTGAAAGTGAAGAGCATAAATGTTAGAGCAAGAGAGGCTGTAGCAGTAGAGATCAGCAGGTTAATGCGTAGCGAGCGATGAGCTCGTGTCGAGGTAAGCAGCAGCGTATGTTCATGAAAGTCACTGCTGTTCCTGTCACACAGCAGAGGATCAGCACAGGGGACGGTGACTTTTCCTTTAAATGTGGTGATAAATGCAAAATGTGAATTTAGCCTCCAGTGGCGTTGGCTGAAGTTGGCGCAGGTTGGACTGAGCAGGTCAGTTTGCTGGTATCACACTGATTGCAAGGCTGTGGGGTGCTCTGCCCTTGGGAAGTTTAATAACTGACTATAACAATGACCTGAGTGGTTGCTCTGGGTGCGCTGTGAGCTGACCTGAAGGGTAGGCTGGTATTTGAGGTACAGGGATTAGCGAGAGAGAAGCTTAAGGGTTGACTGGGTTAAGCAAAAGATTAGTTTGCATACGTAGGATTGAAGTGGGTCTTTTTTTTTTTAATGTTGCACAAAGAACAAATACTCCTGGCCAGCTTCAAATCAAGGCTCTTTAACCAAAAATAAGGCAGTAAAAATCGTGTTTCTACCATTTTTTTCCATTGTACAGAAGCCATGAAGTGCCTGAGGGCCTCCAGTGTGTCACTGTAGCGAGTTGTGTTTGTTTTTCTGCTGCATTCCTTGCCTTGCTCTCACTTTCTCTGTCTGTTCACTGACATCAGCTCACTCGCTCTTATGCAACGCGACTGTTGGTGCTAATTTTGCATTTATTGCCTTCTGTCACCTCGCCCACACCTCGAAGCGCATTCAAAGCTGTTCAGGAGGAGGTGTCGGTTGTGAGCCGACTTCACTTTGCACCACGAGGAACTCGAGCGCTTTATATGCAGCAAGGAAAGTCAAAAAAACCCAAGCTGGTAACCAGTGCAGTGGATACGATTTTTGGTTCGGTTTTGATTTTTGGTCATTTTCCTGAGGCCGTTTGTAGCTGAGGGGCGGCTTCAGCCAAAGGAAACATCTCCTCTGGTGGCTTAAAACCGTTGGGAAACGTGAACGCAACCGTGTCGTGGTGCAATGCTGCTTATGGTGGCCAGAAATACCTTCTGTACCGACACTGCTCAGAAATTCTCCCTTGTTTTAAGTGTTCACTGGTGCATTTGCTAAACTTTTCACAAGTATCTGGAGAAAATTAGTGCCTGTTTGGCTTTTGCCTTGTGGTTTGCAGAAGAGATGCTTTGTGTGCAGCTGTTTTGTGTTTCAAATGGTTTTTTGCACTGTTTTTAACAAAGCCCTTGACGAGGCACTTTAAGATATTAACCAGCTTCAGCAGATCATGCGTCTGACGGGAACACCCCCTGCCTATCTCATTAACAGGATGCCCAGCCACGAGGTGAGGCCTGAGCGGATGAGGGGGGTTCGCAGGGCAGGTCTTCCCTCGCAGCGCTCGCTGCTCCTCGAGATGAGAACGCTCGCATGTGGCATGGGGTGGGCAGTTAACGACCTGCAAGAGTTTTGTGCTAAATGAAGCTAAATTGGAGGTTTGGACGGCGCGTGCTCAACCGCTGACTTGGAGACTCGGGAGAGCCTGGGTGTGACTTGGTGCTGTGCTGTGTTGTGTGGCTTTACCGGCTCGGGGCCGTCAGCTCTCGCAGCTCCTCTTGGCTTTTCAGTCTTGCATGAACCCCAAGCAACGCCAGCTCTTCCTCTGCTGTCCTGAGTGCCCTTTAGTTGGGAAGGGATAACGCTGATGGGCTTAGTACCAGGATAAGTAGAGAAGGCAAAGCCAGGAGACAGACCATAACAACTGGTGCTTCAGGATGACTGAAATGTCTTTTGTCTCTGTGTGGTTTTGTCTTGGTTTTATACTTCAACAGAGCGTTTGTTTCCACAGGCGAGAAACTACATTCAGTCTTTGTCCTATATGCCGAAAATGAACTTTGAGAATGTGTTTATTGGTGCCAACCCGCTAGGTAAGGCTTGCTGCTTGAATGTGGCACTCTTCTGAAGCTGAAGCGAGCGTGTCCTGGGACACCAGGGCTTTCCCAAAGCCTTGTTTTGACTGCAGAAGTCAGTTCAGAGCAGAGCTATGTAGGCTTTGCAAGGTTTACAAGGTGTGTGTGGGCTCAGGGTATGAGAGGAAGAAGTGCTGGGTGACGGGTGGGTTCTGAGAAACTGCGGATCCCTCACATACGTTGGGTTTTACGAGCTTACATTTCAGAGTGCAACGTCACACAGCTCGCTGTGTAAACTCCTCCTGTGTTGTGGTGCTCTTGCAGCTGTGGACTTGCTGGAGAAGATGTTGGTCCTGGACACAGACAAGCGCATCACTGCAGCAGAAGCCTTGGCGCACGCCTACTTTGCCCAGTACCACGACCCCGACGACGAGCCGGTGGCAGACCCCTACGACCAGTCCTTTGAGAGCAGGGAACTGGAGATTGAAGAATGGAAAAGTGAGTTTGGGGGACGGGAGAAAGAGCCAACCTTGCTTCCCCTGTGCTCTGTGCCCTCTGTTCAGCTCAGCGATGGTAAAGAAAGAGAGAAACTGGTAAAAACGTGGGCATCCTGTTTGTTCTGAGGTCCTTACACTGTAATGTGCATAATTAACACAATCCCTGGTAATTAATTGTTACCATGAGCATACAGATGTGTAGGTGATGTAGTTGCTCACATCTTTGTTTTTAAACTTATTCACATCTCAGTGCTCTGGAAGTATCTTTTATGGTGTAACCAACCTTTTCTTCTTCATTAAACCATGATTTCCATTTAAAATAGTGTCAGAACCTTTAAGATCGCAGGTTTTCTTGCACGAGGGATGTCTTTAGTAAGACATTTAACAAGTCAAGGTTCTGTCACGCTTTCCCCCCCCAGGCCTGACGTACGACGAAGTCATCAGCTTTGTGCCACCGCCACTCGACCAAGAGGAGATGGAGTCCTGAGGAGCTGCTCTCTTCTCTTCGTCCCGCTTCACTGTGAGGGGAAGGCCTTTTCGTGGGGACTCTCCAACTACCGCTCAAGTGCCTCGTCACAACAATATTCTCCTTGGTGGAGGGGTTTCGTGTGTGTTGAATTGGGGAGGGTGGGGGGAGGGAGGAAAGCGGAGTCTGTGTAAACACGCTGCATGCTCTCTTGTATTCTGTGTACAACCCGGGCCGGCCTCTCAGACCTTTTCTGGCTGCTCTCGAGTCCTTCCAGAGGCAGAGCCCAACCAGTTGGCTCTGCTGGGGCCAAGTGGGGAAGCCGGCCTTTGAAGTTTGGTTACAATCATTGCCGTTTATCAATTCTGCTACAGTTCACCTCAGAATAATGGAAGTTGTTTTATAGGCTGGGGTTGAGGGACGTCCCTGCTCCGTGCCAGGTGGCTCATTTACGTCCAGATGTTCCTGGTACAGCAGAATGTCCAGACCTTCTCGTGTCTGATTCCTGCAGCATGGAAAGGTTTTGTTCGAAACTGTAAATATGTTTGTGCCTTAAATTGAATGGGGAGAGAGGGGGAAGGAAGTCTGGAGGGAACATCTCTGACCTGCTGCTTTTCAGGGTGAAGGCTCCCAGATAGCCAGGCATGAACTCCATGTAATCAGGAAATAACTTTGCGAGGCAGCAGCCTCTGCCCCTGGATTTGGGGTATTTGGGGATGTTTCCCTCTTCCCCTCCTCTGGTGCTGAGGCTTCCCAGCGTTGGCTCCCGCGAGGCAGAAGCTGGAGGAGACTCTTGCTAACCACGCGTCTGTGTATTTTGTTCCTGCGAAGGTGGGCTGTTTTTGCATGTCGTAGCTGTCCGTGCATGTAGAGCTGCTCGATTTTTGTCGTTACCTTTTCTGGGGATGGCACCGGGGCCGTTCAATCACCCGAGAATTATTTCACCGAGTACCTCAGCCAGTGCCGCGAAATCACAGCATCCTTCCTCTCGCAGCTCCTTGTGAAGTGTCCGCTGTTGGGGAGGCTTTGGTGAGGAAAGGAGAAAAGATCCAGCATCCAAACATGCACCTTTTGCTTTGTTCTGACCTGCTGGTGCCAGAGGAGAGCTCGGGATGGGGGGATTCCTTGCGAGATCCAGTGTAAAAACCGTTCCTCACAGAAACAACTGTGGCATCTTGTGCCACATCTTAAGTTATTTCCTGACAAGAATTTTCTTTTAGAAGTATTGGAATCCAAAGCAAAGAAAGAAGCACGCATAAAACCCACAATCTCCCTTTCACTGTCTATATCTATAAATAT